ATATTTTTTTATTTAACTTTTAAAAAAAAAATTCACTCTCTCTCCCATAATTTCAATTACTTATATCTTTCTCTCACTTAAAATGACATAACTTCATATCCTTTAAAAAGACAAACACTAAACACTAAACACTAAACCCTTAAATATTAAGATTGTTTAAATTAACTTATTTTTTAAAAAAAATAACTTTTTCTTCAACAAGGTAAGTTGAATTTAATATATATATATATATATATATATATATATATATATATATATATATAAAACTTGAAAATGAATTGAAAATAAAACCTCCAAATGCATGCTCTTAAATTAAATATATCCTGTTAGAGATGACAGCAATCAATCCAAACTTCTCCAAATCACCATAACATGGATGACAAAGTAATGGCATTAATTAAGAAAAATGTTACTTATATCCTCGTTTACAACTTAGGACCAATTTGCAATTACATAAAACAAAATTTCTACCATAGTGCAAAATATATCACTAAAACTAACGCTCAACAAACCAAAATCCTGCATGTTCTTATGATCTCCATAACTGGATACTCTATCTATTTCGTCTGCGTCCAAAGATCAGTCGACGACCTTCAGTGAAGCTTAATTTACAGGACAAAAACAGAATTCCCGAACGCAAAATTAATGCATTTGACATGCGTATTTGTGAGGCAGATGAAGTCCCAATATGGAAGATGTAAGGGGGAAAGGGAGCTTGTTCTCTTCAGAGCGTTTTTTAGGGTTGGAAATAAAACCAACGGACAATATACATAAGAGTTCCCAAACGGCTATGCCTGCAACCAAAACTTATGACTCACTTGTTAGGACCAGCTCAGCAGAAAGAAGCTGCTAGGATGGTAACTCAGTGGCTAGACCCTGCTCAGATGTGTCACTGTCGGGGGTCAGAATTTCTGTGTTTGTATTATCGCCGGTTTTAGGAAGTTGGTCAGTAGATTCTCCCTTCAACTCATTTTCGCTATATAAATCCCTTTGAACAGGTACACTTCTTTGCTGCTGGGATGCAAGAACATTACCGATAGCTTTAAAAGCAGCAGATGCCTGATTACCGTCAACAGCATCATCAACATCTACACCATTAACACTAGGTTCCTCGGACATGTCATCCTGCCTGGGAGGACGAACAAAAAACGGAATTTTACCCCTCTGCCAGTCATGAAGCATCATCTTTGCTGCAGTCATCAGGTCAGGTTCACCGCCCTGAAAAAACCATTATAAGTAACAATCACATTAAAGTCTGTCATCCTGTCTTACCAAAGCAAAAAGCCTCAAGGAAAACACATTGCAGGAACACTCAGATGAAATAATTGACATACTACTGTCATTAAAGGGAAAAGTACATTGAGTTGCACCGTTTCCTTCTTAAAGAAGATAAACAAGCACAGGATACAGACATGAAATAGATGTTGCTTTGGTTCATAGTCAGTCAGGATAGTCATACCATATATAGATGAATTTGCACACACAAATAGCATTTCTAGTCTTGGCTAAATTGGGGAAAGCAAGAACACATTAAGAGGGCTGATGTCTCAACAACAATGCTACAAGGAAATATCTTTCAAATATAAACTAGGACTCTGGATCAAAAAGAATACCTTCAGAAGTTTGCCACTTGATTTGCAAAGCTGAAGTAGGAAGTCATTTTCATCATCCCTGATGACAAGAAAAAGATTTTGCATAAAACCAAAGCTATAATGACAGAGACAAGCAAATCAAGGCAAGCACAAACTGCACATAACAGACACAAGAAGAATGATCATGTCATCACCACCTTACTGTGCATAATCTGTCACTAGAGGCTAAACCTATTGGCAAATGAAAAGAAAAACCTTAAAAGATGACCTGCACAGAAAGATATGTTAACATTTTATGAAGTGTTGGCTTTAATCCACTTCTATAAATTTCATGTGGGTTGATTGTATGACATGGAGAGAAAATGTTGTTCACTATCAACTACAATAGCACAGATCTTGTCAGCGCCAAAGATTAACTGGCAAACTTGGGTTGTTTTCAGCAAACACAAGAATACAAAAGGAGGACACTTATCAAAAATCTACTTGTCACCATTGAGTTAAGGAGACAGAGAACTGTACCACTCTTTTATTTTATATGCTCTTTCCAAGTGCTCCTTCTTCACACGTTTCAAAACCTCACCAATATGGTCCGTAGCATCTTGCAAGTTTGTTACACGTACCTGGAAATATAACAGGTATTTAGCCTGACTCGAATGATGATAATAATAATATATCTACCAATTAATATGCAAAATGAATTCCACAAGTACTTCTATTACCACATGCAAGCAGGAGTGAATTATCCATTGGGCAAGCAAAACAAGCATGAGTCCTGACTATCACTATATATAATATAACATAATAAAAGCTATGATCGTTCAGGAGATGCCAGATTGATTGGTTAACACAATATCACTCAATACACAATTACATCGGATAATAAAGTCACCATTCTGACAAATTAACATAAGGGGGAATCAATACTGATCACAATCATATTTTGTCGGCATGAATGCTATAAATAATACCACTAGCATGTCATTTCCTGGGTTAAGTAACACCCAAAGAGGTAATATACTTGTCATTCAGTCTTAAAAAAATCTAAGAATAGCAATTTCTGGGTCGGAATCAGAATCCTACCAATCGCAATGATTAATGCACCACAAACTCACAAAATAGGTGATATCTCAGGAGACTACCAGGTTGATTGGTTAACACCATATCCCTAAACAGTAGCATTCTTTTTACTTGCATAGCTAATCTGAACAAATATTCTTTGTTAAAGCACATGACAACCAAAACTAGAGAAAACAGGAGAAAACATACCACACCCTTCAGCACAACATCTGTTTCAGAGTCATTGTTGTAGTAAACAACACCTGGACAATCAATCAAAAAGATCCTCTTTGTAAGAGTTATATACTGCCAGACTTTCGTTTCCCCTGGAATTGGAGCAACCTTGCAAACCTTTGGCAAATAATAGGACACATGTTAGTCAACAAGCTAAAATGCTTATTCCAACACACAAACTCATTAACAACAGCTTAAGCTGAAAATCAGAAGCAGATAAGGAGAAAGAACTATTACATTCTTTGTACGCAATGTATTAATCACTGATGACTTCCCAACATTTGGATATCCAACAAATCCAACAGATATTACTTGCTTATCGCTTTTCAATCGAGCAAATTGCCTGAGAACCGATAAAAGGGAACCCTAGGCACAAAAATGAACAATAAGCAGCAAATAACTGCAGATGCAGAATGGTTGAAGGAGAGGAAAGAAAGATGTGTTATCCCCAACGTCAATTATCCTTTTTTTCATTAAGTAACACATTACAGCAAATTAGCAGATAAATAAAGTAAACAAATTAGTCAAGTGTATCAGAAATACCTTTCCAAAAGACTTGTTAATGCTTGCATGGAATGCTAGAGTTGGATATTCTTTCGACAAAACTCTAAGCCATCCTTTTGTTGCCCAAGCAGGAATTAGATCACACTGACCAAAAAATAAAGATTTAAGATGTTAATTACATTACATGATAGCAATTTACAGTATTTATCGATTATCAACATTCTTGAACAATGACAAACACAAAATGATGTAAATAACCTTGTTCAACAAAAGAACCATGTGTTTGTGCTTGCAGTTCTCCTTCAAATGCTTCTCTAAATGGTAGCATCTTGTGCCTTGTGGGTCCCTCGCATCTAGAACCTGCATTAGGATACATAAAATATTAAAACTTCAAAAGAAGAGGAATGTGTATGACAACAGCAAGGAATCTGGACATCAAAAGAAATCTGACATATGTTGTCCTCTTCAGTTTAAACAAGCACTAAACAATATTAGAGTAGCTCAGTTTATATCCTGTAAAATCAGTTACAACTTACAACAAAGTAACTGACTTGTAACTAATAATAACTGACTTAGTTTTCTGTTAGATTCTAACTCAGTGAGTTAACATTGTATAGTTAATTAACTCTCTGAAGTTAGCTTAGTTCAGTAGGTCTATAAATAGACCCCTGTGTAATTCTCTAAAGTGTGGTTATCATTTTTCACAATTCTGAAACTCAGCTCTTTTCAGATTCGCTAATTCTCTCTTCCCTCTCTTTACATTCTTCGTTTATGGTATCAGAGCTCCATTCTTGGGGCCCTGATCCATTTTCTTCTTTCTTCCATGGCTTCCGCTACACAAAACACCCTAGATTCAGCCTCATCTGCAAATCAAAATGCTTTAGGTGATTCCAAATTGCCTATATTGTTCAACACACAATTGTCTGTGAAATTAACTAGCAAGAACTTCCTTTTATGGAAGCAGATTGTAGAACCACCGATAATAGCTCATCAATTGGAACGCTATCTTGTTAATCCACTTTCTTCTTCGATTTCGATCAGAGGAAAATAAAGTTGCTGAAATAGTTAATCCAATGTTCGTTGAATGGGAGAGAACAGACAAGATGCTCCTTATCACCTCCAACGATGGGGGGAAATAGAAGAAATGAAGGGAGGAGAGGACAACTTTGTCAAGAGTCAAGGGGTTCTCCAGAAAAGGGAGGCTATCAAGGCGGAGGACGAGGAGCAAATCCGCGGATAGGAGAAAGGATACCTGAGGATTATGCCCGGAGAACGGGCCGGGCTAGGCAATATCAAAATAGAGAAGATGAACAGGTGGAAGAAGAGGTCACATGGGAGGAAGAACAGTATTTAGGAGCCCGTCAAGGTTATACTCGGCGAGATGAACGAGAGGTAAACAGAGGTCGATATGAAGAAACTTATCAAAGGTGGAGGCCGGAAGGAGGAAGAAATTATGGCAATCGCAGAGGTGAAGTTCCGCGAGACGATACCGAGTACCATTACTGGGGTAGAGATCAAAGTCAAGGAGATGGAAGGCGACAAGCAAATTGGGATTATCACCATTACGGACCAGGGCAGGCAGAAGACTAGGGTCCTCGTTATGGCAATAGACAAATGGCCAATAGGGAGAAGGATGTACCCGTTTGGAATGGACAACTCGGAGGAGCTCAACAAGGGATTCTGGCGCCCCCCATTAATCAGGGACCATCAGGAACTCCTTTGTCGGGGAGGCTTAGAGCAGAACCAATCCCGGTTTGGTTTAAGCAACCAAGTGACATGAAGGCGTAAAAAACAACGCATAATTTGTCCGGAGTAAGACAAAAGCCCGGAGAAAAGTTGCGAGATTATTATGAACGTTTGGCAGAAGCAAGACAAGTTAAGGGTTTAGAAAATCAGACGTACCTGTTGTTGTTCACTACTGGATTACAACCCGGAGGAATTGCCAACTCGTTAGCCAAAAAGGCTCCGGCTACAAAGGAAGATTTGCTAGAAAGAATCAGAAAGCATATTGATTTGGAAGATTTTAAATCTTCTCAAAAGCAAATTGAGCAAGGTTTTCGGGAAGCAAGTCAAAGTCGGAGGCCGGAGAGACCAGCAGGAAGAGGGCAGTTTGAAGAGCGACGACCTCGTCTAGTCGGAGAAAGATTCAGAGAGCCATATCGGAGGGAGTTCACGCCTTTGAACACATCAAGAGCCCAGATATTTAAAGAAGTAATGTTGGCAGAAATGAGAAATGTCCCAAGGTCGCCACCCATTCAGTCAAAGTTTCCAGACAAAACCAGATGGTGTGAATTTCATCGTGGGTACGGGCATTATACAAACGACTGTTTTAATTTACAGAACGTCATTGAACGATTGATCAAAGAAGGAAAGTTACAGAAGTACGTGAGAAGAGATGTAGATGGTAGCAATGAGGACAAATCTCGACGACCATACCGTAGTCGGAGCCCACCAGGAGGAAGAGGACAAGAGGCAGGCAAGATTCCACAACAAAAGCAAACATCTCCCAATCAAGTCCAGTTGGGTCACGTGTGTACTATAGCCGGGGGGCGAGCAGGAGGAGGAGAGTCGAGTAATGCTCGAAAAAAGCATTTAAAGATGTGCATGGCCATTTCATATAAGCCACGTTTTAAGGAAGAAAGAAGAAAGACTGGCAAACAAGTAGTTTTTGATGACCTGGATGATGAGATAATTGATCCAGAGCACGACGATCCTTTAGTCATTTCTGGGCTGCTAGCAAATTATCGCGTTGATAGAATGTTGGTAGACCCGGGGAGCTAGGTGGACATTATATTTTTGGATGCGTTTAGAAGAATGGATTTGGATTATGACCAGTTGGAGTTATGTGGAGCCGAGTTATTAGCTTTCACAAGATATAAAATTAAGCCATTGGGATATATCCCATTAAGGATGACGTTAGGCAAGGCGCCCGCGCACAAAACGGTCACTTTGATGTTTGCAGTAGTAGAATTGAGCTCAGCGTACAATGTTATCTTGGGGCGGCCATTTATGAAGAAGTTTAAAATCTTCTTGTCGATTGATCAGTTGGCTATGAAATTTGTGGCCAAAGATGAGTCAGTAGCTACGACAAAGGCGGACCAAGTGGTTGCTCGGAGTTGTTATAATATGAGTCTACGAGTTCCACAAGCAGGTAAGGAGAAAAATATTGTGGAACCACCACAACAAGCCAAAGAAGAAAATGTACAAAGAGAAGAAGGAAAGAAAGAAGAACAAGTAATGGTGGTGGAGATGGACCCTCGGGAGGAGGACAAGGCGGACAGGCCGGAACCCGCCGGTGCAATGGAAGAAGTTCAATTAGGGATATCTCCACAGCAGTGTACTAAGATAGGGTCCGAGTTGGAGCCCGAGGTGGCAGAGAGTTTGAAGTATTTGTTGAAAAAGAATGCTGATTTGTTTGCATGGAAACCTTCAGATATGCCCGGTATGGATCCGACATTGTCTTGTCGTCGCTTGGCAATGACCCCAGGAGCAAAGCCGGTAGTGCAGAAGAAACAGAGATTTTGTTTAGAAAGGAGGAGGGCCATTGAAGAAAAGACACAAGAGCTTTTGGAAGCAGGGTTTATTAGAGAAATAGAATATGCTACGTGGCTAGCCAACCCGGTGCTGATAAGGAAGCCAGATGGGAAGTGGAGAATATGTACAGATTATACAGACTTGAATAAAGTGTCCTAAAGACCCATTTCCTTTACCAAGTATTGATCATTTAGTAGACAGAGCCTCTGGGTACAAAGTGTTGTCATTTATGGATGCATATTCCGGGTATAATCAGATACGGTTATGGAAGGAAGATCAAGAAAAAACAGCGTTCATAACTGATAATGCAGTGTATTGTTATAATGTCACCATTTGGATTAAAGAATGCAGGAGCGACGTACATGAGAATGATGAACAAAGTGTTTAAGGCACAAATGGGTAGAATGTTGGAAGTATACATGGATGATATGATTGTGAAGTCGGGGGACGGTAAGACACATTTACAAGACTTGCAGGCGGTGTTCGAGCAGGTTAGGAAGCATAATATGCGCTTAAACCCAAGTAAGTGCGCTTTCGGGGTTCCAGCCGGAAAGTTTTTGGATTTCCTGTTAACAGAAAGGAGAATTGAAGCTAACCCAGACAAGTGTAGAGCAGTGATGGAAATGAAAAGCCCAGAGAATATTAAAGAAGTCCAAAAGTTGAACGGGCGAATAACAGCTTTGTCCAGATTTTTGGCCAAGTCTGCACAGGTGTCTTTGCCACTATTTCAACTTCTAAAGAAGAGAAGTAATTTTGCATGGACGGAGGAATGTGAGATAGCATTTCAGCGCTTCAAAGAGATGTTGGCTTCGCCGCCAATCTTAGGAAACACGGAACCAGGTGAAGTGTTATACTTATATTTATCTGTGTCACAGGAGGCTGTTAGTTCAGTTCTCGTCCGAGAAGGGAAAGATGGGAAACAGCAACCGGTATACTTTATAAGCAAGGTGTTACAAGGAGCAGAAACAAGATATCAGCATGTAGAGAAAATTGCATTTACACTGTTGATTATAGCAAGGAGGCTTCGTCAGTATTTCCAATGTCATCAAGTGGTTGTTCGGACTAATCAGCCAATAAGGCAAATGTTGCATAAGCCAGACCTCGCAGGTTGGATGGTAGCGTGGGCAGTGGAGTTATCTGAATTTGGCATTCATTTTGAAGCGCGCAACGCGATCAAAGCAAAAGCTTTAGCCGATTTCGTGGTAGAGATGACACAACCCAGAGGGAAGCAAGAAAATGTTTGGTGGAAGTTGTTTGTGGACGGGTCGTCCAACAAAAGAGGCAGTGGGGTAGGGGTTATAATAGAGAACCCGGATGGAGTGGCCGTAGAACATTCGCTGGCATTGGAGTTTCCCACGAGTAATAATCAAGCAGAGTATGAAGCAATGATTACCGGTTTGGTTTTGGCAAAGGAGCTCGGAGCCGAGCTCCTAGAGGTGTATAGCGATTCCCAATTAGCAACTTCGCAAATTAGCGGAGTATACCAAGCTCGAGGGGAGATTATGATTAAATATTTGGCAAGGGTACAGGAGTTGATGAAAGAATTTAGGGAGATCCGAGTAGAGCACATTCGTAGAAACGGTAATGTTAGAGCAGATGTGTTGTCAAAGCTGGCGAGCACTAAAGCCTCAGGAAATTTGAAGACCATTATACAGCAAATATTCGAGCTCCGAGTGTGGTGTGGATGGTCGAAGAGGTGGATTGGAGAAGCCCAATTATAGAGTATTTGGAAAAAGGAAAGGAGCCCAGAGAAAAAATGGAAGCAAGTCGGCTTAGGAGAAGAACGGCTTGGTTTGTCAGGATAGAAGGACAGTTGTATAGAAGAGGGATAAATTCTCCTTTGTTGAAATGCATAGCTCCACCGAACACGGAATACGTGTTAGAGGAAATACACGAGGGGATCAATGGACATCATCTAGGAGGGAAGTCGTTAGCCAAAAAAGCTATACGAGCAGGATATTTTTGGCCAACAATGGGAGAAGATGCTAAAAAACATGTACGCAGATGTGAACAGTGTCAGAAGTTTTCTAATGTATATCAAGCTCCTCCCGAAGAGTTGTTCACAATTTCATCTCCATGGCCATTTTTTAAATGGGGAATGGACCTGCTAGGTCTGTTTCCTAGAGCAGCCGGAGGAGTGAAATACCTGATAGTGGCAGCAGATTACTTCACCAAGTGGATAGAGGCAGAACCTGTCGCCACCATAACTGCTCGGAAAGTCCAGAAGTTTTTCATTGGGAAAATAGTCTGCAGGTTTGGTATCCCAGCTATAATCATAACTGATAATGGGACACAGTTCATAGATAGATAATGTTTTATGGGGATATAGAACTTCTGTGCAGTCTAGTATTCAAGAAACACCGTTTAAAATGACTTACGGGTTCGATGCAATATTACCCGTAGAAGTCGGAGAACCATCATGGAGAAGGAAGTTGAGTTCCGAAGATAAAGAGAAAGAGAATAGTGAGTTGATGAAGATTGATATGCAGTTGCTGGAGGAAGAAAGAGACAAAACAGCAATCGTTGAAATGGCATCCAAGCAGCGAGCAGCGACAAGATACAATAGAACAGTGGTGAAGCGAACATTTCAAGTAGGAGATTTGGTGCTCAGGCGGGCAGATGTGGGAAATAAGAATGCAAGAGATGGGAAGTTAGCAGCCAATTGGGAAGGTCCATACCGAGTAACAAAAGCCACACATACAGGAGCTTATCAAATAGAGCATTTGGATGGGAAAGCTATCCCACGATATTGGAATGCGGGCAAGCTCAAAAGGTATTTCAGTTGAAGAATTCAGACCAATGATCAGAAGAAGGAAACCAACGAGCATGTATAGTCGTTGGTAGAGTAGGTAATATGTTAGGTTAATTATTAAAGCTTTGTTTAAGTTAAGAAAATTCAGAATTACGTTTCGTATAGGAGTTTATATTTATTATGTTCAGTAGATGATGAATATTGGGTAGTTTAACTTTTGAATTCAATAAAGCAAGATTCTCAGAAATGTATATGTCAGACAGACCAAAAGTCCCATGCCGCCTTCCATGGCCTCATGGGCACCTGATCATTTCCTACTCGGAAGCAGGGCCAAAAGTCCCATGCCACCTTCCATGGCCTCATGGGCACCTGCTCATTTCCTACTCGAAATCAGGGCCAAAAGTCTCATGCCGTCTCCTATGGCCTCATGGTCACCTGCTCATTTCCTACTCAGAAGCAGGGCCAAAAGCCCCATGCCGTCTCCTATGGCCTCATGGGCACCTGCTCATTTCCTACTCGGAAGCAGGGCCAAAACTCCTATGGCCTCATGGGCACCTGGGCACCTGATCATTTCCTACTCGGAAGCAGGGCTAAAAGTCCCATGCCTCCTATGGCCTCATGGGCACCTGCTCATTTCCTACTCGGAAGCAGGGCCAAAAGTCCCATGCCGCCTTCCATGGCCTCATGGGCACCTGATCATTTCCTACTCGGAAGCAGGGCCAAAAGTCCCATGCCGCCTTCCATGGCCTCATGGGCACCTGATCATTTCCTACTCGGAAGCAGGGAAGCAGCGCCAAAAGTCCCATGCCGCCTTCCATGGCCTCATGGGCACCTGATCATTTCCTACTCGGACGCAGGGCCAAAAGTCCCATGCCGCCTTCCATGGCCTCATGGGCACCTGCTCATGGGCATGGCCTCATGGGCACCTGATCATTTCCTACTCGGAAGCAGGGCCAAAAGTCCCATGCCGCCTTCCATGGCCTCATGGGCACCTGATCATTTCCTACTCGGAAGCAGGGCCAAAAGTCCCATGCCGCCTTCCATGGCCTCATGGGCACCTGATCATTTCCTACTCGGAAGCAGGGCCAAAAGTCCCATGCCTCCTTCCATGGCCTCATGGGCACCTGCTCATTTCCTACTCGGAAGCAGGGCCAAAAGTCCCATGCCGCCTTCCATGGCCTCATGGGCACCTGATCATTTCCTACTCGGAAGCAGGGCCAAAAGTCCCATGCCGCCTTCCATGGCCTCATGGGCACCTGCTCATTTCCTACTCGGAAGCAGGGCCAAAAGTCCCATGCCGACTTCCATGGCCTCATGGGCACCTGCTCATTTCCTACTCGGAAGCAGGGCCAAAAGTCCCATGCCGTCTCCTATGGCCTCATGGGCACCTGCTCATTTCCTACTCGGAAGCAGGGCCAAAAGTCCCATGCCGAATTCCATGGCCTCATGGGCACCTGATCATTTCCTACTCGGAAGCAGGGCCAAAAGTCCCATG